CCCATCTCGAAACCCGTGCCCTGGGCCGACTTGAGGCTGGAGGAGCGAGAGCCGCTCGACAGTGGGTCAAAGTGGAAGCTCTTGCCAAAGGTGGGCGAACGGAAGCTCTCGGGCTCAAGGCTTGGCTCCGACCGATAACTAGGGTTCCGGCTGCTCTCAGCTATGGATGTGGGCTCTTTCAGGCTGTCCCCTCGGCTCAGCTGGAAGGAAGGCAGGCAACCACTCAGCAAGCCCCCCGCACCAAGTGGGGAGTCTTCCTAGGTTGTCATACACCTCCCACCATCCTGTGGGGCTGGTCCTGTGCACCCCAAGACAGGTCCAGTGAGCTCAGCAAAGTGTCTCCCCTTCCAGGGGGTCCCACTTCCCACCCTTGTCCTACTCTGCAAGGCCAGCATCAGAATCCTGGGGTAACATTCCCCATTTTGAAGAGCCCTGACCTGTCACAGCCTCACCTGACCAATATGAGGTAGATCACAGTGGGAGACAAAAGCCCACCATTCTCAGACCAACCACTGCCCTCCCAGTGGCAATGACCATTGGTGGTGTTGGGCAGGACAACCACCACACTCCAGGACAAATTCACAGTACAATACCCTTCCACTGACTCCCCGACCCCACACATCTGAAAAGAGTGCAAACCTCACCCCCAAGCCTGCCTCTACAGGCAGCATTACCTTGGCGCTGGTGGAATGGGGCAAGGCGGCTGAGGTGCTGCTGCTGCTGTAGCCAGGTCGGTACTTGTACATGGTTGGAGTTGGAGGGCTGTCCTTGCCTATCAAGCTGCTGTCTGGGGGGTGGAAAGGGGGAGAACAAAAAGGGAGGAGACACTCACACACAGACTCACCATGGTGTTTCTCCCAAGGCCATACAGAGGAAGGAATTCAACTTGATGATCTGTGAGAACCAGCTCTGAGCCTGGGGTGAGTATAGACACTGAGGAAGGGGAGGGCTTGATTGGGATGGTGCATGGGGATCACTGGGAATGGATGAAATGGAGCAGGAAGGACATTTAGCAACAGCAAGACCTCTCAAGTCCAGCAGTTTCCTGCCCATGTACAGCCTGCCCAGCGCTAAGTGCTCTAGGGGTCCTGGCATGGGGAAGAGAAAGGTGCTGCCTGGCAGGACAGCCATGCACTGGGCCATGCAACATATAGGGGACCCTGCTGCTTAAGGCAACTCATGCCTGATGGCATATGCCTCGTATGCCATCGGGGAAGAACAGTCCTGCCCTGTATCCCTACCTGATGCAAGACCTGTGCCCATTCGGAGTGTACAGTTCCAGGGATCACTTCCTAACAGGCAGGGGACTTGTGGAGAGGAGAATACTATGTGTTTGGGCAGCCTTTTCCCAACAGCTGCCCCTGATGCTACAAAGAGGAACTTCAGCAGCTTCTGCATAGAATCCAAACCTCATCAGAGAATCACAGAAAAGTAGGACTGGAAGGGACCTCCAGAGGTCATCTAGTCCAGCATTTCTCAATCCATGGGTCACGACCCAAAAGTGGGTCACAAGAATATATGAAAGGGTCATGAACAATTATGGAAAAATGTGGAAAAAAAAAAATCACAGATTTTCTCCTGTAAAGGAGAAAAACGTGGAAAACTGCAGGTTTCCCCTTGTTACTTAAACTATTTACTGGGTCGGGACTGGCCAATGTTTACAAATGGGTCCTGGTATAAAAAAGGTCGAAAACCGCTGATCTAGTCCAAACCCCTGCCTGAGGTAGGATCACCCCTATCCAAACCATCCCATTCAGATTCCCTGTCTAGCCTATTACTAAAGCTACAGGCAACATGTTCACACAACCACAAGCACCCTAACCTGCCACAGGTAAAGCAGGGGGAGAATGGCAACCAATGTCCTGCTGCAGTAAGGGTTACTAAAATAAGCTTGAGAGATTCAAGGAAGAGGCCATACCCCTGCTACAGAAGAAGGCAAAAACGTTTTTGCCTCCCAGGTTCCAACACTACGTGAAACTCACTGGATCCCCTTCAAAGTCTCTTCTCAAACTGCTCCTTCTCTTTCCAATAAACCTGGAAGGACTTCTCCTCATCCAGCAGTCTACTCGCACCTTTTTCTTTCCCCAGGGCTGCCCTTTGCTTTCCCCAGTCTGGCCCAGACCTTGGAACCTTGTGATGCTCCACTGCAGACCCACTCTTGGTTCCATTCAACTAGGAACCTCCTTGGGGCAGGAACAGTGAGCCAGTCAGCTACATAGAGCCTAGGAGACTCTGTATTCCTGGTAATGGGTTCTAGCTTATTCTCTATACATTGCCTTAGGGTTGGGACACCAAGCCCACTCAGGAGACCTCAGCACTAGCACCCCTGTTCCTACTGACATTGGAACAAGGTTGCTATGGTGCCCTGTGGCAAAAGGAATACTTACATCTCCCTACTTGCCACTCATGAAGGAAGCAGCATAAGCCTTTCCAGAGACCTAGGTGCCATGGGAACAACCTCCCCACTGCAAACACCAGCTCTGCTTTGTCTGTCACCCCATGCACTTCACAGGAGCTGGAGGCTACCCTGGAAGTGACATTAACCCCATTGCCAAGTCCTGTAAACCAGCAACGTGGTGCAAACCGAGCTGCCCCAACCATCCCCTATGCAAAGCTCTGCCAATGCACATCAGTCCTGCCCTGCAGCCCCTGACTCTGTGCACGCAGCTCTACTGGTGCTCCTGACCCCTGGCTTGTAGCGTGGCTCCCCTTCCTGCAGCTGCTCAAGAACTCCTTCCCTTGGCATGCCTTCCTTACCCTCATTGGTGGCCAGGGTTAAGTGTGTCCTCAGGACCGTGTAGCGGCCAAGGTCTGGCTTGGGCGGGGGTGGTGGCTCAGCATCTGCAGACTGGCTCTCTGTCACCTCGAGGCTTCCTTTGGACTGCAGAGACAAAGTGCAGAGGAGCAATCAGAAGGGGGGAAAATGCAAAGTCCCTGATGCACCCACCCTTGGGCACAGAAGTTAGGCTGGTAGCAATGGAGCTACCCAGGTGCTACGTGCCAAGTGCTGGCAGGCTGCATGTGTCAGATTCTGGGCTGGAAGGGAAGAGACTCTTTAAACTACTCAGGGCAGGGGGACAGAGAGAGATGGAAGGTGGGAGCTTCATGTAGCAGCAGCTGCTGCATGAGAGGGACATAACTTCAGTCACTGAAGGAGATCAGATATAGAGTGAAACGACACAGAAGGAAAGAAGGGGATCAGGCTCACTTGGCTCTTACTCACATGGCAGGTTTGTACCCCTTGGTATAAAGGAGGCCCCATCAGGGTGGTATCCCTACCCCTCTCACCTTCGTTCTCTTCAGTTCAGTCTGGATACCATTGTCCATTATCTTGACAGCAATCTGTCCATCTGACAACTCAGGTCGGAGGAAGGGTGGTTTCACCAGCACTGTCGGCTCTGCCTTTGGTCGCCCAAGGTATCTGGCAAAGCCCAGGGGAGAAATGAGTGCTAGATTGAACATTCTTAGTAGCTGAACTGAGGCAGTGTCTCTGGAACATCAACTGCTCCCAACCTGTGACATTATGGACAGAGCTACACTGCCACAACAGCAGGCGAGGGGGATGCAGTTAGCAGTATGTGCTATGTAATATGTTGTTCCCCTCCTCCTCTCCCCTGATTCACCAGGTTACTGTACAGGGGACATCCAAGCTTCACACAAAAGCAGGCAGATGTCTGGAATCCATGTAGGGTGATGAGCAACAGGGCTGGGGGCAGGTTTGGAGTTAAAAGCAGCACATCACAGCCTGGCCCAGGAGAGGCAGCCATCACGCAGGAGACCACACATCTTCAAATGGCCTGGCATTCCCAGAGCAAGACCAAGGGCAAGCAAAGATCTATCTCCCTGCAAAGGGAAGGGCCAACGTACCTGGGAGCTGGTGAGCTGCAGAGGACACGACTGACATTTTTACAGCAACCATTAGTGAAAGGGTTCACTCCTCCCCGGAATTTACCTGTAACCTGCAAGGACACAATCTGTCAGGGAGACCCAGGACAAACACAGAAAGAGCTGTTGAGGGGATGCTACTCTTGCCTCTAACTGTACACATACCTGTTCATTGGTGGTGCGGCCCCTTGCCACCAACACCACATGGAACCCTGTAAGGCCAGCCACAGGAATGAAGAACAAGCCAGCCACACACATCACAGCCATGCTGCCAGCAGAAAGTCAAGGAAACAACTACTGTGTTGCTGTAAAGTACATACCCTCCATGCTCCTGTTTCCCAACACTGATGCTCTCCCTTGCTTAGTCTGAATTCCCACCATCTGGCACTCTAGTGCCCCTGGGAAAAAAGACCCATTCCAGCAGCCCAAGAAGCTGGAGGCAGCTGCCTTCTAAGTGGGTTCATCCACATGGAGGATACGTGACAGCCATACGCACTCCAGAGAGCTCTTCCACCTGGTAGAGGACGTAGAGAAGGCCAAAGCCAAACACACCCATGATGTGTGTGGTGAGTGACAACAGAAAGAGGAAGAAATAGCGATAATTGCGCCGCCCAATGCAGTTGTTCACCCAGGGGCAGTGATGGTCAAACTCCTGTTGGCCAAAGACAAACACAGAAAGAAGCTTCAAGTTGCACAGGGGCTATGGGCTCTATCCAAACTCCAGCACAGACCTGCCATACCATGGCACCCCACTGTCCTGGAGACAGAAGTACACAAACCCACTCCTCCACTCCTGTTTGAGCTCCCCAAACCCCCGGAGTGATCAGTGAAGACCTCCCCACAACAAAAGCAGAAGTCAAAATTCCTTTATCTTTTAGGGGGTCTTGCCCCATGACTCATGAGGCAGAGTGCAAGGTGCACACCCTACCTGTGCTGCAGGGCAAATGCAGCACAGAAGCACAGAATTCCTCCACCTTCTGGCACTCCAAAAGCTTGGGGTGTAAGGGGAGGTGGAGGGAGGGAGGGAGAGGCAGTGAAAAATCTGTTCAAACCACCATGATGTCTATCGTTCCCTGCTGATGATCTCTTACCTCCACACAGTTGTCACAGACACTGCAGTGGGAGCAGCGTGGAGGCCGGTAGAAGCGACACGTTGCACACCATTTCATGCGCACCTGGATGCCCTTGATCTCCACTGTCTTGTAGAGTGGGGCTCGGAAGTCATCCTCTTTGTCCTCATCTTCCTCAGCTGAGGAAGGGCAAGCCATCAGCACAGGAACAAGTCAGATAGGTTGGTGAGTTCCAGAGGAAGCTCATCTGTTCCCTCCCCCCCAGGACTTGGGGAGTTTCCAAAAAGCCCAACTTAGGAACTACCCAGGTGCTGTTCCAATGCCACAGCTCGGTCGGTGTTCTGATCTACCAAGCCCAAATATTGCAAACAGGCTCTCCTAGGGCACACACCTTGCCCTGGTGATGTCAGGGACCAGAAGATTTATAACTACTCTGGTTATGGGATAACATCCAGAATGCCTGCTCTGGCAATGGCCAAAACTGCACCTGCCACAAGCAGGTAAAGCCCCCAAAAGGTCTCACACCCAATGCAACATCATATTGGCAAGGGAATGGGACCCTTGAGCCCTGCTGCAATCAGCTTGTACCCTAAAGATGAACGGTTGAGAAATTGGCCCCTGGTCCCACCAGAGAGAAGAAAATTTGTTTCCCCTTAGCCAGTCCGTGGGAGGCAGCAGTTCTCACCTCGTGGGAAGATGCCTGGGTCCATGAAGGTGGCCATGCTGAAGTTGGCCAGCACAAAGAGGAAGACGATGGCATTGTAGATGGGGATGATTGGGGAGATGTACAGACTGAGCCCTGGGCACCTGCACACACAGACACACCAATGGGACAGTGCAAAACCTCCTCTGCTCACCCCACTGCCTTCATTGCCATCCTGCGCTTCAGCCCATGCCCCTTCCCAGTCTGGTTTTAAAGGCATCCTCCTGGTAAGGGAACTGGCTGATTTAAGGAGGGACTTCCAGCAGCCCTGTTTGAGTGCAGAGCAGGGAAAGGCTTGGGTCAGAGCAGCCTGCCCTCTACATTCTGGCCAAAGGCAAATCCCCTTTGCCCACCTGCTGTTTCTTTCTCCAGAACCGTGTCCAGCAGCAAGAGTAGAAATAAAAAGGAGGGTGTGGACGTGCTGGACAAGCTGTCCCTGCTGTATGATGCAGCGTTCCAGCCCCTGGCAAGTGGGTCGTATTTCCCACTGTCACTGCTGCCAGATGTCAGCGCAGGGTATTCTCACATTGCCAGGGGGACTCAGAAGCCACATAGCATGGGAGCTAGGGAATTCACTATACACAACATTAACCCTTCCTCTCCCAACAAAGGCTGCTCCCTCCACCCCCTTTTTTTCAATAGTGAAACCTGGCAAAGAGCATACTTGAAGATTACACTGCCAAGGTCAGAGGCATCATAGGTTCCTCTAACAAACAGGGATGTTGATACACACTGCTAGCTGGACCCACTCAGACAGAGATGGCACCAGGCTTCTGAAGCAGAATCAGTACTTGCTAGGACTGCTATTCATTCCAGGATGCAGAAGGCTCCTAAGGTGCATAAATCAGAATCTTACCCCTGCTCCCTGACTGCCTGCTCTTGCTTCTGCTCCCATACACTTCCCCTGCAACCCCGAGGAGCTGCTTTGAAATGCAGCATGAGTCTTCCACACTGTGAACTACTCTACAAGGGTGACTGGGAGAACAGCTAAGGAAGACAACTGGTAGTGGGTACATGTGAGGAGCACTGTGCTGGGCTCATCTGCCCAGCCTGGAAAATCCACTGAAATTTGAGAGCTAAGAATAATCTACCTCCCCAACCCTGAGTCCCACGGCAGAGGAAAACCTCCTCCAAGCCAGCCATGGTAGAGGGCAAGGTCAGTGAAAGGATGGCACCATCCTGCTGGTAACGACAGCTTGGCCCTGCCCTTCCACTGTGCTACATCTCAGACACCTCTAGAGCAGAATAAACCCAACTCCCCCAGGTAGAGGCAATGGCCAGGCAGGGAAACGGGATAAGCCAGTTGGACCAGCAGCTATACACACAAGTGAAGCCTGCAAGCAAGAGATGTGGCTCTGACAAAACACACCAGGAGAGTACATTACAGGGAACAAGGGCCTTCTCTACACACCAGGAAGAAAAGCCAGCCCCTTGCCCACAAGCCAGGGTAGCCGTTTAGACTGGTGCAATGGAATCTACTCAGGGAATGTGATGCTTTAAGCACATCGCTGCCCATTGCTCCGCAAGGGGGCACAGGTGTCCCCTGGGAAATAAAATAGCCTTTGATTACAGGGATGGAGTCAGAGCAGGAGTCTGGCAAGTCCTTGTTCTGGACAAGGCAGTGACACTCATGCCTCATACTTGTGAAGACGCAGCTCATCTGAGGATGCTGGATCTTAGGACCCTCAAGTGGCACTGAGGATTACGGACCACACTACTGCAAAGCCTGCTTCAGCAGAGGTGTGCAAGAACCTAATGGTAAGGCAATTACACTCTTGGCTAATTGCCTCCAAGATGCAGGACCTGCCTGAATTAGCCTAGCCCACACCAGAGTTTTTTCAAGACAAAGACAGCTCTGCAGGAAAGCAGCACTACAGGGTAGGACTTGCAACTGACCTGGGAAAACAAAGGTCCTGCAGATGCAGTAGCAAAACTACAGGGGAGGCCCAGGACTGAAGAAATGCAGAACAGGATTGTAGATAACAGCACAGAAGAAATCCCTCAAATCAGATTGAGCTCAACCTTTTTGTTTGGCAGGCCAAATGGGCAGTGCCCGGTCTGTATGTGGACTGGATCTGGCTGGTGGTCCTGATTTAGTGCCCAGGGTACACATGGCAGGACTCAATCCAGCTGTGCAGGAGGGGTAGGGGGTAGCCTGGCCCTGACACAGCTGTGCTGAGGAAGGGGGCTTGGCCTAGCTCCAGTGAGGGGAGCAGGGAAGGGGCATGACCTGGCCCCAGTCCAGCCACACGGGTCTTGGGAATTTGGCAGCTAGGAGGGGTAGCAGTATTAACTGCCACTGCTCCTCTGCCGCCAAATTTCCTGACCTACATGGAGCCCTGCAGGCCAGGTGCCAAGGCTCCGTGAGCCTCATTTGACTCTCAAACTAGAGATTGAGCACCCTGCCTTAAATGGATCCTGCAGCTCACTCTCCACCCCTGGCACAGTAAAGATGGAAGGAAGGTAAAGATGGGCTGCGCAGCAGAGAGGGCTGCCAGGGGTCCCAAATGCTGTACAGAGACCTCCCCACACACAATCCTGGCTGGCCATCCAAGTACCCAGGAGGCTCCAAGCAGCAGAGGTGCCAGGAATGGCACAGGTTGCAGAGGTAATCACTGTCCCTCCAGCCCCTCCCCTGGAAGAGTCTGGGCTCCAGAGACAGTGGGCTTCCCCCTTGAAGGCGCCAGTGTAATACCCTAATCTGCTTTGCAGCTCGGCGCTTAATCCTGTGGATCTAGGACAGCATCTGTCCCTTCTCCTCGCAAGTAGGAGCAGCATGGGATAAACACAGAGGGATTTAAGCAGTGAGAGCACAGAACTGGGGAGAAGCATGTGCAGCCGGCTGAACAGTATGACATGTGGTGTGAATGGAGTAATCCAGAGCAGCCTCAGAGCTTGGGGGAGCAGCACAGAGGCACAAGCCAGACTGGACTGGAGCTCAGCATCCCAAACCCCTGCTAGCAAAGAAAAACCCAGTTTAACCCAGCCTCCCTCTTTCAGCTCAACAGGAGTCCAAGGGAGGGGAAAGCAGATGCACATTATTTGGACTATGGCTCCCAGCTTCAAGCCTGCTACCAAAACCAGAGGTGGATGGGGGAAGGGGAAAAAGTCAGGAGTGGGCTACAGGAAAATAAGCAGTTGTCTTATGAGGCCAGGAGGAAAAGGCAGCAAGAAGGGCTGCAAGGGAGAGGGTGATCCGAGGTGCTGGTATAGTGGCAAAGCAGTCACGGCTGGTGCAGAATGCCTCTGTCCAAGGCCTTACTGGACTGACTCTCACTTCCAAAAGCCACCAGCACTTAACTTCTTCCTGCAAACAAGAAAGGGGCTAGGGGCTGAAGAGGCCCTAGCCAAAGTGTCCCTATTACTCTTTGGCTTTTGGGGAAGCCCAGCCTTACTACAGCCAATGCTGTACCTATGTGTAGAGGGCTTCGCTCTGCTGCTGGAGCACCTGGCAGGACTGAAGGAACTGCCAGATGGAGCATGGCTCTTAGGTGAATGGCAAAAACAGGGACCACATGTGGCAAGCAACAGGGAGGTAAATAATCTGTTCTCGCTTAGGGAACAGTAGGGAGGAGCCCCTGTATACACCTGTCCTGGCACGCAGCTTCTAGAAAGAGAGCATAAAAAGGAAGGGAGGGAAGGAAAGGCAGGTCCAGAGCAGGGAGAGGTGGCCAGAACGTGAGCAGGCAGGCAGGTGCTGCAAGTCTCGCCCAGCCAGAGGCGGCGGTAGCATTGGAGCAGGCCAGCTCATGTCCTGGGCTGATAATTAAATCACTTCATTCTCCTCGCTCTCCTCATAGGAATGAACCTGCATCCAGGATAGCGCCCCTCCCAAATACCCAGCTGCCAAGCTCTCGCTTTCATACTGTTGGGTGACTCATTCACTAAGCAAGCAGACGATCCTCCCAGCTCTTTGCCTATGCAAATCACCAGCTGCAGGCCTACTTCAACACTGTGGCCTGAGATCCCCAAAGCTGAGCTAAAATGGTGGCAGGTACCACAGCAAAGCATGGGCAGGACTAGGATTGAGCATCCCAAGTCCACCCTAGTCTGCCACAGACCAACTGGGATGGGGTCCTGGCCAAGACATTTCCCTTCTGGGGTTTCCCTATCCCTATTGTGCAGGGGGCCACAAGGTTAAATTCACTAGTGCCTGCCGGGTCCTAAAGGGGCCAACAAACACCTCTTCTGGTAAATAAACAAGGTCCCTTCCTAGTCAACAAGCAAAGGAAGCCAAGAACAGCCCATCACTAGGACTCTGGCACCCAAAGGCCACTGAAAGAAGCTGAGGCTTCACAACTCCTGCCTGAAGCAGATTTTCTCTGACCTTGACTTTCAGCATCAGACTTATCTTATCTCTGGCTGCTCCAACCTCCCAGGCAGCCTCCATTGCCATCACTTATCAATAATGTTTGATACAGCAGCGCCCACCGGCCAGCCAAGCAGGCAGCTTTGGTGTGGCAGGCACACCACATACACAGTAGTAGGCAATTCTTGCTCCAGACAGTTTACAGTCTAAGCTACCCTGAACCTGCCCAGATTTGAGCTATACTAATACCAGAACCTCAGCCCTGACCACAGCAACTTGGCCAAATTGTCTCCCTCCCCAAACCCCAAGCTGCCCCTCACACAGTCAACTCTCTTTGTATTATCTGGCCACACTCCTCTGAAACATTCTTGCGTTAACCCATCTAATAATGTGTTGTTAAAATGGGACCTTCAACGTACCTGGTACATTAAACTGTTCCCCACCCAGTCCTGAGATTGTATCTGGGGCAGAATCATCTGTTTGGTTTAGCTGAGCAGCCCATTAAGGCAAGGGCTGTCCAGCACCAGGCCTGCTGACCAGTCAAGCACACTGACAAAGCTCCGCTGCAGAGGCCCAAATCCTCAGAAGTTAGCACACCAAGCTTCAGTAAAGAACCCAAGGGACACTCTCCTTTGTAGGGTTTTAAAGACCACTGCTACCACTTCACAGGCAGCCACTATAGAGACTGTAGGAGTATGTGTGACAGCTTGAGGCAGGGTCTAAGCAAGCAAGGAATAGGTAATGGCAAGGGGGAATTCCATTGGGCAACTGAGCCATGTGGTCCCCAAAGCATCT